GTTTAATAACACCTCTCCCACAGATTGTGTTTGATATAAGTGAAAACTAAATGATTTCGTCTAAAATACGAATAAGATACATCTGTGTGAAATAGAAATTTGTAGAAAATTAACTAAATCTTTCTCAAACTACCTCTTCACAAAATGTTTGAACCCAGCTCTATAGCAATAGCGCTTTGGAATGCTTGCAACGCACACGCCAGTATGCACGTGCATGCATTTCTGGTGTTTATGCACATAGTTCTTTGGTTGTTACAGGTAAAGTACTTAAGTTGCTGTGGCCCTGAAAAGATTTATTGCCAAAATGGCAAATGCCATATGACCAGCTCTCAGCCAATCAAGGTACAGCCTCTGTGGGTGAGTTGGTATAGTGAAAACTCTTTGTGAAGTACGTGTGAGCCCTCAACCATATATGCTGATTGTCTGACCCACTCATGCAGGATGTGGCAGGACCGGTTCTGGAGGAGGAGCCTACCGTCCAGACAGGCATCGCCGGTGCCCTGAATCTGGCCGTTAAGAAGGGTTACATAGAGACGGAGTTCATCAAGGCCCCCCTCAAGTCCAAGAAGGGGGAGGACTTGGAGGCCAAAAACTTCACTGTTGAGGACAAGAACTACAAGTGAGTGGAAATTTGTGTCAAGATGGAATTTTGCTCTATGCTTTCAGGCTCCTCTCCTCCCCTAAAAAAACTGAGGGAGCAGGATTTTTCCACCTTGTGCATTGGCTTTCACAAGCTTTTGCGTTGGATCGGAATCACCACCCAAACCAGGCAGAGCCTTGTGATTAGGACTCATAATTAATTTTCAGTCAGTTTCTGTCTGTAATACACCTGTCTTTACTTTGAAAAAGGAAAGAAAAGAGGGGAAAATTTACAATTGACATTTAAATGAGGCGGTTTAAACCATATCCTGCTGGGGAGCCCGTTTTCAGGTACCTGGGGGTGCTCGAAATCGGACAAAAGAGCTTGGGCCTTGTAACAAAAGACCGCACTCGGAACAAAAGACAGAGCTGCTGGAAATTGCCAGCATTTTTTCAGTTGTCAATAGCGTAGGAAATCTGTCATTGTTTTGAGAGATTATACCCCTGTATGTGGCATTCAGCACGAGCGGAATACCATTGGGGACAAAAGTGCTCCAGCGCTCAAGTAATGAGCAATACAATACCGCTGCATGCTAATCTGGCCCTAATTGAAAAGACCCAGAAGCGCACTGTGCCAGTTTCGGGAACAAAAGCATCTTATTTAACACCATACAATCTGGGCTCTTTTTACATGGTGGCAGGCCTGGCTGCAATAATCTGGCATCAATAGATTTTGTCTGTCCAATTGGAGTAGCCCCAAGACAAACACTCCATGGGGTTCAGGAAAAAAATGATACAAATTTTTTAGGATTGTTGAAAACCGAAGATATTGAAAAATCGCCCATATGTAGGTACTGCATTTTAAAAGCACCCGGCAGGAAATGGTTAAGGTTTGTATTTTTTATTCTCTTAGTTTCTGTCCCTAAACCACTTAAATGTTTTTATAGTTCAAAATTGATATGGAATTTTCCAGAACTTGTGGACACATGAGTGTATTTTTAAAATTATTAAAGGTCATTTATCTGTCAAAGAAGGAGCTTGAAAAATCTGTTAAGCCCACAGTTTCTGTTGAGAAAAATTCAGAATTTTGTTGTATTTCCCCCAGTGATATTGATGCTAAATACAACAAGCACGACCGGTACCGAGGGCCTCTGGCAGATTTCAAGGAAAAGGACAGCTACAAACCGGACGTCCAGCTGAAATATGTGGATGATAAGGGGCGGGAAATCAACCAGAAGGAGGTGAGCGACAGAATCAGGCTTGTACTGGCCACCAGTGTCATGGTGAAAACCATCTCAAGACTGGAAAAAGCATTCAGTCTGTCCTTCCTGGATGATATTGTTCCTTGTTTCTATTGAGTGCTACATGTAAAATTAAAGATGAGCAGTAAACAAGTCAGGTTTTGGCCCTAGATGGACTTAAACACTGCTGTGTTTATTGGATGGAGCTCATAGTTATAAAGATGAAAATAGCTTTTTGCCTCGAGTTTTTGCCCTGGGTCATTTGTTAACTTGTCTGATATGCCCATTACAAGTCTAGAGTTATCTTAATGAGAGGTTCAAATCTCTTACATTCATTCCAGGATTTTTCAAAAGAAACTTTTCTTGTCTCTGTCCTAGGCATTCCGCATCCTGTCTCACCGTTTCCACGGCAAGGGATCAGGGAAGATGAAGACGGACAAACGGGCCAAGAAGCAGATGGAGATAGAGGTGGGTTTTCCTAAGGGTTACAAGTGTCTTTGAGCAGACCAGTGTAACATGGGTGGAAGAGCGCCCACTGTGGCTTCAGAAGTCCCAAGATTACATTGGTTAATTGTTTGAGAATTGTTGCCATGATGAGATCCACAAGTTATTGTACAGATTATGAATGGTTGCGAGTGTAATGGTTAGAACATTTTCACAAGGTGAAAGATGGAATGGATGATTGCATCTGCCAGTGAATGAAATTATTCTTTATGTTGCTGAAAAGAACCCTAACTTCACCTGACCCATGTTCCACCTGTCATGTGTGGAGATCCGTATTAAAGCACAAATAGTGCTCCATGCAAACAGTTGATCCAGTAACCTGTGGAATGGAATGTTCCATTGCTTGGGTCCTGGAACTAATAATTCATGATCAACAAGCCCCCAATAAGGGGGGGGTGTTGGCGGTCATAACCAAGAATTGGTTTGGTTGTATTTCATCCGACATTTTCTTTGGTAATTTTAATAAGGTAAGAATCACACCTGATGATGTAGTCCTCAAATCCTTGATGCAGTTCACCAAAGAGAAACAACTGAACCACTGCCAAAATGCAGTAAGAGAGATTTTGTCAAACACTGTACGAAGGAAGTATGATGGAAGCTTGAAGAGGATTTCTTTGCTAACTGCCACTTTGTGTCCCATCTTGCCATCAGGCCATGAAGAAGATGTCCTCCACGGATACTCCCCTGAACACGGTGGCCATGATGAAACAGAAACAACAGCAGACCCAATCCCCGTACATTTTACTCAGTGGTGGATCCAAGAGCCTCACAGCGTAAGTTTCGGTCCATCTTTGGGAGGGTCATTGGCCAAGGGTTACAATTCAAGTAGTATTGTGTTTCAAATCTAATGGCAAATTATTGGCAAGGTTGGGATTGTTCATGTGGACGGTGCTTTTAGTCTAGTGAAATTTAAATCCCACATCAGCATTTAATTTCTTTCTACTAAATTTCCTTGCACCTGAAATTTGGAATGAGGAAATCTAGTCCTCATCAGTAGGATGACCGAGATGTTGTAACCATTACCTTGCAAACATGTGATCCCAACACCATTTTGTAGATGCCAAGGAATTTATACTTCTGTTGCATGCCCCTTTTTGAGTACAAGAACTGGGTTATTCATAGTTTGTAGGCTTTGATGTAGTCTCTCTCCTTTACATGCCCCCTTTCAAAATTCCATGCCTCCATTAAGGATGTGACCACTGATAGAATTACTTGAAGTAAGATTTGAAGCTTTGCATGGTGGAAGTTACATGAGATATAGGCTTGCGGGTACACAATGGAATCAATCTCTTTTGGAACAGGTGTGATTCTTAAAGTTTACACTAATCAGTTCTTATAAGAACCACACCTCTTCCAAAGAGATTGATTCCATGGTAGAATTACTTTAATAGATCAAAATTTAAAGAAAGAAATAGGAACAGAAACTAAGCTGCACGGACTGTTTCTTGTCTTTCTTCTTTGTCCGTTCATTTGTTTAGGAAGTTACAAAGAATACTCATTTAATTTTACTTTTGCTTAATATTAATTTGAAGTCATGTTTAGAAAGTGTTTGATTTTTTAGGCATTTAAAATTTACATAATTTGCTCTTTTTGTTTATTTTCTTTGATGCCTCCATATCCACATTTAAGAATTATCTATTGTGTTTTGTTTACTGAGTGTTAACCACTTAGCGCCAGTTGACCCCATATGGCCCACATTTTTCTGATCCACACAACCGGGCAGCCTTAAGTGGGGACCAGACTGACTGCTGTGAGTCGCCATAGGCTGTAATCCTCCTATTGTGAAGTACAATGGCATGAAATATGCAGCGTTTGAGGTCAGCCTGGCCGACGAACGCGTCACCCAGCCCACCTATTTTTTGTCCTTCCTGGCAGGGCTGAGGGCAAACAAAGAAGCCGTTACGTAACACCACAATAAACATAACAATGGCTTTTTTTAAGGTGCCCGGCCATGCTTCGTTGCCATCTGACTCTCATTACTTAACATACATTTCTTCAGTGATTTTTTTCCTATTATAGTATGGTGAATACAAATGTCAAAATCAAATCGGCAACCTGTAATTCCAGGGGATTTTTTTACCTGGCGTTAAGTGTTTAATGTTTGTAGTTTTCAGAGAGCAAAACTTAAATCTGCCTTTCCTTCTTTTCCTCTCCAGAAACACATTAGCAAAGTAGGACTGTTCCTCAGATGTGCAAGACCTCGATCTCATCCATACGTACTCAGCCATAGCAGGCCAACGTCGTGTGTCAAGGAATGGAGCCATTGAAAGTTCTGGCATTTGAGGATAGGATGAATTTCTGTCTGAACAATTCTCAAGCATTGATAATTGGTTCATCGTGTGCTGTCGTATGGCATTAACTCAGACAGGGTGAAACGTTAAAAACTGTAAGATAGCTTTTGTTACTTTTCAACATTGCTTTTACCCATCATGCAAATTATTTGAAGGGGAAATTCTGGGACGAAAGTTTTGGAAGACGCATTTTCACTATAAAATGAGTTTAAACTTGAAAGATTCAAACATATTTTTTAAATACAGTAGTTGTCCTTTGGATTTTAAAATATTTACAAAAATAGAGTCGCTCCTAAAAAAGTCATAAAAAAGGAATCCCAGTGTTGGTGTTTCATTATTATCAAAACAGGTCAAAATGATAGGGGTTCTGAACCAATTCCTGAATCCTTAGCACAGATAATTAACAGCAGTGTTTTTGCATTAATTCAAGGCACATGACCGTGCAAGCAGACAAACAGCCCCCTTAAAAGTGGTGTGGTGTTCCCACACTCACTGGCGAGGTAGTACACTGATTCGTAAGGCCTAAGGTACATGTACTCTAAATATCGCCCCAACTGATGTGTGAACGTATATTGACTCCATACACAAGTACATATAACTGTTCAATGGTGACTAGGGGCAGTATGATTTGCTTGAACACAGTTACT